GCGTGTGTGTGTGTGTGTGTGTGTGTGTGTGTATCTACAGGTGCATCCAAGTTAGTGTAAGTAAGCTTATGAATTGAGTGCATATGTATGGTTATGCCCGTATGTCGATCGAGTCGGAGTGCAGCTATCGTCAAATATACAACGCACGAACGTCAATTGAAAGCCTCATCATTACATTCTCTTATTCTTGTTTCGCTTCTGTTTGGTGCAATCGTGTACCTGCAGGGAAAACAAGACAGATCATTGCGCTGTTGCTGCTGCGACTACTTCAGGAGAGTACGCTCATAATAGCGCCCGTGGCTGTACTTGACATGTGGAAGAAGGAGATCGACACTCTAACGAATCACAAGCTCGTTACCTTTAAGTACCACGGACGAGATAAGGATAAAAAGTTGTCCCGTTTTAGAGAAGACAATCCCGTTGGCCGCATATGTGTTGTGTTGACCACTTCCGACACCTTATCACACAATGAGGTGCGTAGTATGACACTTAGCCCTGCGGTGAGACCATACCCTAAATAGTTCCTGCTACCACGTCAGCCTATAGTCCTTTCGGTGTCTATTGCATTGAGCAAAGAAAGTCTCATGCCATGTAGACTGAGTGTTACTTCTCGTTTGTCAGTCGTCTGCCGGCACTGAGTTGAACTTCAGACTGCTTCAAATATTACAGTACAAATATACGACAGATGCAACTGCATTCGTATAATAGAATAAATACAAATACCGATGCATGTAGCACGATCCCTGCACTCAGACAACACAGCTTCTTCTTCACAGGAAAAATTACGCAGAATGAATTGGAGTCGCATCATCATTGACGAGGCACATGTAAGTGTATGAGACATTATGAGACATACACATGTACTTGTACATGTGTATGAGTCCTTTTGACACGCACTGTGCACCGGCAAAGTACTTCAAATACATCCATCTGGTGTAGGCCACGGTTTCCAGGTAGGTATCTTGGTGTACGCTACATCACATGTACATGTAGCCAATCCCCCAACTCATCTAACCTTGCAGATGCTCAGAAGTCGGGGCAGGAATTTCAACGCTGTGATGAAGGTGTCGGCTGACTGTGACTACCGATGGTGTTTAACCGGCACACCCATCAACGTAAGTGCAGTGCTGTTGCAAACTGCTATTAGTAAGAACATAGCTACAGTGGTGTGTGTGCCTATGATGTTTACTGTAGTATTCCAGACACACTATTGGGCTGTGGAAGCGCTATATCCGCAAAATGACTGGCCGGTTGGTATATATCTGCGCGCAGAGACGAATAGTATTAAACGTATTCGATATATGCACTCACACTTCGGTCCAATGCGCTTCTCCAGAACACTCCTATGGATATGCTGGCGCTGCTGTGTGTCACTCGCTTTGATGAGCACAAGTTCCCTCTGGGAGACCTGGGCCGTCCTGTGAGTCCTTGGGTGCAATGGTGCAACGATAATATCGACTTACAAGACAAAACTCTGACAAAGGAATCAGCAATGAAGCTGAGGCTACTAACCTCCATCTTTGCGCTCAGGCGGACCTTAGAGGACAGCGGAATCGTAATGCCCGAGAAGAAGTACGATATGAGACAACTGGTAAGGGTTTGGAGAGTCCTACGTCGTGTGGCACGTTGTTTGTGATGGATTTGCTCATTCAGTTGCCCTTTGAATTCAAAGAATTGCCATCTAGAGAACGTAAGACTGGATAAGGTAACTGTGCTGACTACAGCTATGGCGATTTTGTCTTTTCGATTGACAGGAACTCTCGGAGGAGGAAGCGAACTACTACAGAGAATATCAGATTCGTTGTGCAACGAAAATCGAAGTTTTCAAGAAAGAAAACAGGTTAGAGAAACAGGCCATCTGTGTGTTCGCCATGCTGACCCGTCTGAGGCAGCTGTGCATACATCCGTGGCTTGTGCAGTATACAGGTGCGACAGTGTGCCCCACAAACCATTCCAGAGCAAGCTCGATACATATTTACTAGAAGGCTTGGTGCGTATGTGCACAACACGCTTATTCTTGGCAGGCCATGTGTATACATATACATATATATAT